TTAAGAGTTCATGTTATCATTAATACATGATTAAGGTTAGAAACTCTCTCCACTCTTAATGATATGTGTGTTAAAATGTCAATTAGGCTGTTTAATCTGAAAAATATCAATCATGTATGACTGAAAGTTTGTAGTTAATGTACATAAAAAAGCTGTATTCATCAGATAAGTGAATGTCATCAAATTAAATTATCCCTGCACGCTTTCAAAACTAGTACATTCTTCATTATTAGGATATGCCTAAAGTATTTTCTTATATATCCCCTCAACAGCTAATGTGTCACCGCTGTATGCAATGCTTCAGCGGTGAACAGGAAGACACAAATGGAAACGTCCCCTCTCCATAGAAGTGTTGAATAGCTTATATTATTTTTTGTATCCACGTAGCCAGGAGTGGTATGCACCCCGCCAGTTGGCTTTTGTGCTTTGTATAGGTGACACAGTGTGATAGACCGTGCCCTCAAACCCTCCATTACAATCATATTGGTCTCCTCTCAACTGTGTTCCTATGGGGCACCGTCACTGCCAAGACTGGCTGAAGTTTAGTCAAAGACATTAAGAGAGCTCCTCCAGGGACAAAACATCAGCAGAGAAGACAAGAGGAGAGGAGAGAAGAACCATGAGGTCGATGCAGTGCCTTAAAGCTGCAATCCATAACTTGCCGCACGTTCAGATGACAGTCTTTAGCGTGGCATTTGTGAAGCTGTTTCAACATGTTGTATGCAATTAAAAATACAACCAGACAATATACATTTTCATATTTTATTTACTGTCCACCATTCAAGTGTTTTAACTTTACTCTAACTCTGATTTCTAATTAAATCAATCATTGATTTCAGAGTGTCTTATTGATCACAGCAAAAGCTTTACAGACAAAATATGAAGGGACAATTATACATATAATATATATATATAATTATATATATATATATATATATATATATATATATATATATATAAGTAAGTATATATATAGAGTATTCTGTTGTTCTCTATATTTAATTTAGTTATTTATTTTTTGGCCCTAGTCGGCAAAATAAGTTTCAAACTTTGGACTAAGCTGGTTAAGTACGGAAAATAAATATATATCCATGAATTCCCAGAGTTATGTACATCTCAATTTGTAACCCTTCAGAGAGAAAACTGATGGGGATACCAGGTTAAAATTATTTAAATAGCACAATTTACATTATGTTTGAAGTTATAATGTCCTGTAAAAAATCCACTTATTTATAAAAAATGCAAAAAGTGACCAGAAAAAATAAATAAATATATTTCTTCAAAGACATATTGAGAAACATTTTGCAGAGGGATGTCACTTTTGGAGCCTGGAGATGTTCTGCAAGTAAAGAACAATCACACACCCCCACCCATACAAACCCAAAGAGTGACAGCGTCTCCCTGAAGGAGGAGTGCTGCCATCTCTCGCCACGGTGGTCATCAGCGCTAAACTCCTGTCAGGTTCCATCTCAAACACACACACACACACACACACACACACACACACACACACACACACACACACACACACACACACACTACACACACACACACACACACACACACACACACACACACACACACACACACACACACACACACACACACACACACACACACACACACACACACACACACACACACACACACACACACACACACACACACACAGGTCTGTCTCAGGGCAGGCTGTAGAGGGGTCAACATGTTGTCACACACACCGGCGAGCAGTGTTGTTGTTGGCAGTCCGATCCTCCTCTCTATTGTCCATGTCACCTCACACGCAGTGAACCTGCTGTGGCTATTAAGAGTCCGACACAGAGGGTCCAGGAGGACTCGTAGAAAACTTGGCTGCCATCTTTTATTTATCCACTTCTTGGAATAAGTGAGCAGTTCTTCCTCCTGAATAGATCAAAGGCATTGCACAATATAAAGTTATTAATGAATGAGACAGAAATGAACAAAGCCGCTTTTGTACCAATTAATGTTTGAGCTAGGTACATTACAGGCCTGCAGTGGTGCTTACATAATGAGATACAATGAAAACAATAATAGGCTGTTCATGTTGAAGTAATCTTCGTTCTACATTACTTTTTGAGTCCATCATTTCGTTATTATTTTCTAGGAAGATTCCTGGAAATAGCTAAATGTACTAGTTATAGTGAAAGTATTTTCTTTTGTACGAAAAAGCTACATTTAAAACCAAATTTTGTATTTTGCATCTTAAGGACATTTTGGACTTTTTAAATACTTTATTTTGGAAGGGATTTCCTTAGGGCTCGAAAAATATAATTTCATTTCTTTCCTCCCTCGTAAAATTAAACCTAAAATCCCTTAAACAGTCGCATGAAATGTGCTTTTGTGAGGCCCAAAGGACAGAGTTTAGAGTCAATGTGCTGTGTGTAAATTATTGGTCCATTAATGCTAAGGTTTAATAAGGTAATAAGGTTTACGCCACGTTTACACGCCTCAACCAGAAATATCCAAACTGTTATGAATCCTTTTTTTCCCTTGTAAATTCCTAAATCACTTTTGGTCAACATCAAATACAATTGTATAATTTGTGTCATTTACACAGTTGCTTAATCTTTTGAAAATATAAATTACATTTCTTATTTCCGTTGGTAAGCACGGCAAAAGTTCTTACTAGAAAGAGTTGTCTTATTTCTTTAATTTATTTAGATATTTTATGTATTTAGGTTCATTTAGTGTGTGATGTCTTCCTTCGTGTTACTCAGAAACTAAATGAACTATTTTTCATTTTTCCAGCACAGCAGCCACGCCGTCTACTTTCAACAAGATTGACAACTTAATCCTCAGGGCGCTTTCAATCATGCACTTTTCACACATTCAACAGTTGTTTCAAATCTCACTCCTCAGACAGCCTTTCCTTGATCATTTCCTGTGATGTAAATGTTCACTGAGGAAACATTAAATGTTTTGTTTCATGTCATTTTTGATCATGTGCCTGACATTCACAGCTGTCTAACAACTGGGACAAGAAGAGGTACAAAAAAAAAGGTCTTGGTGGAAATGCCTTTCCACTTAAACATGGTACATCTCTCCCAGGTGACTGCTTAGCATTGTCAGTAATTGAAAACTTGCCCCTGGCACTGTGTGTGTGTGTGAGTGTGTGTGTGTGAGTGTGTGTGTATATATGTGTGTGCAACTCATGAGGCATGTGTGCATGCAATAACTGCCTTTTTTATGTGTTTGCATGTAGCTGTGTGCACATGTGTAGGTGTGTGTATGTCCTTTGTCTCCATCACTAAGCACACTGATGAGCCCACCTTTTGTGATGTATGTTGTTGGGGGTTTAAACATTTTTCTCAACAGGAGGATGAATTAATAACATGTTTTAACACCACCCTCCCTCCCCCTCTTTTTGCTCTTCTACTACGAGGGGCCAAATCTCTTCAGCATTTCCAGCCCTGTGAGCTAATTTGACAGCTCACGGGGGTGACGCTGATTCCACTTCGCAGAGACAGGTACCCTAGGGCTAGCCAGCTGGATCGCAGCGGATGCTTACAGATTTGGCTTTAGCTTCATGCTGGGTGTCATCTGTCTCTTTGGTCTGGCGCGGGATAATTTTTGTGTGTGTGTGTGCGTGCGTGTGTGTGACCGCCCTGACATCATGTGCCTGAGCAGTTTGTGCCTGGCAGGCCTTGTCTGTCCAGGTTGGCCATCAAACACAGCCAGCATGGCCCTAATCTGACGAGGCACCGCTCCAAACATGCCACAGCAGCCCGAGAAGTGTGTGTGTGTGTGTGTGTGTGTTTGAGTTTGTGTGCTTGTGTGTGTGACCCCAGGGCAGACCCCCTTTTTTTCCTACTCTTTGCCTTTCTGCTCTGCTCTGTCCCACGTCGAATATCGACGCACACACACACTCACCCAAACACTAACTGAAGAAAAACTTCAAAAACCATCAAGTTGAGCTCAGTCGACGCTTCCGCTCAACCTCACCGTCTCAACTCCTCCTCTCCTCAGTGTGTGGGTTATTTAAATGCATATGTGTGTGTATTTGAAAGCTGCAGCCAGGAGAAGCAATGTTGCCAAATGTAGAGATTTCCTCTTTCAGTGCTGCCTCCATCCTACGTCTGTCACTTTGATTGTGGGCACTTTGCGGGACGCTCTGCCTCCACAGGTCTGTAGACTCCCCCAGCCTGTTGCCCTCAGTCCACTTCGACACTGGCTCTTGGAGAAAGAGGCGATCCCTCCCTGTGTCAGGACGGGAGAGGACAGGGGGACAGACCCCCATGGGAGAAATGACAGTGCAGTTCCCCGTTTATCTAAAGGACGAGCCCTGAAATGGCAGCAGGGGCCCACATCGAACCCTCCCCCCCCCCCCACACACACACACACACACACACACACACACACACACACACACACTTCCAGTCCTCCCTCAAAGCCTCAGTACCAATCTCAAGCTCTGAGGGAAATGGTCGCCATCATAGCAAGATGACGAGGTTTTGCTGTGAAAGAGAAATATTCTCCCTTCCCTGAAAAGCGCAGGATGATGAGTACATATGTTGATTTTCAGGCTGTGAGCCATGTACCGCCACTGTGTCTTCCCATCAGGCCTTGGGACAGAGTGACAGCAGGATAGTTTCACCGCATAAGGGCCTTCAGTGTGTTTATTTGGTTCTTTACCTTCCTGCTGCACTCCATACTTCTTTTATTTTAACTGACTATCTTTTATTCCATTTTCTGCTCTCACCCCCTCCACCTCTCCTCCGTGGTGGACGGCTCTGAAGCACCCCGCCTCGAGCAGGCAGAGGGACAAGGAGGTGGTGGCGCCGGGACAAACGACCTGCTTGCAGCCCAGGGACTGAGAGACTGTAAATGATATGAGAGAGTGGATGTGATGAGAGAAGGGCAGGAGTGGGTAGGTGGGTTTCTGGACAGCAGGTCCTCTCCTGTCACTCCTCCACCCCCACCTCCCCTCAGGCCCAGAGGCCTTGGCATCCAGTGAGCAACACCCCCTCCTTTCGTTCTCCTTACCCCTCTCCCATCACCACCCCCCACCTGTTCAGAGCCGCGGTGCAGTGAGTGGCGTTCAGCGTGTTGTGAACACAAAGCAGCGGCCCGCGGCCCTCTGCCTGGACCTCGGTGCTCGAGACCCGGCCGAGCTGAGAGGGAGACGCAGAGGAAACATGAGAGAGAGAATGGAGAGCAGTAAAATGCAGAATAATTATACCCAGTGGGTAATGCGAGCACCGTCGTTACAGGGGCGGTGTGGTCGGGCCGGGAGGAGAGACACACTGAGGCGAGAGCGTCACCGGGGCAACTCGCAGGGCCACTGGGCATGTTTGGTAGAAACCACAATCACAGACCTCCCACTGCACGGCTGAAGACCGTGTGTGGAAGTGCTGCAGGAGATCATCTGGATACTGGAGAGCATGTACACAGGGGGGGGGGAACACTGCTGCTCCGGTCCGGCACACTGTGTACAGATCATATGTGGAAGAGTGATAAGAAGAGGGGGGTGAAATATTGTATCTTATGAGAAGGAAAATACATACATCTGTATTGTGTTGACTCACTATGCCTATATTTATACAATTCACAATATCAATCTTTAATGGATTTGCTTTCAAAATAAAAGAGTCTCTATGACTGTTAATACAAAAATACCCTAAATACCCAGTATGTCATAATATATGATATGTATATGATTTAAAAAAAGTTATTGCTTCATTGTTGAAAATAAAAACTTTTTAACAATTTATGATGAATGTATTTCTTTATTTCAGATATATTAATATTTTCCAACAAAGCAACATCAGACATTTAAACACTCATTGGCAGAGCTAAATAGTATTTATATGATCATGTGTGTAAACAACTTGACAATATATAAAATATACACGGTAATAAAATAATGTGAATACTTTTATTCATTAACTATAGTAAAAATAATAATCAGATTTAAATGCTACTTCATGTACAGCTGCTGTAATCGTATAATTGAGTTAGACAAAGGCATATTTATCTAACATATCATTTGTAATGCTCTTTTATAACTTTGATTATTGTCTTTCTTTTGTAGCGACAGTTTTGGAATGTCCCAGAAAGGCTTTATGTTCAGCGCAGCGGTGTCAAATAAAAAGCAGAATTCCCTTAATAGACCTGTGGGACAGAAACACAGAGAAACACAAGAGCTGCTCTCATGCAACGAGCTCCGCATGCAGGCTGCAGCCGGGCATCAGGACGCTGCAGATCGAGATGAAGGAGGACAGATACTTCCTCGTTATGTTGATGTGGGATCCGCTCTCCAAATTATTTAATGCTTTGGAAAACTCAACTTTGGATACGTTTGAAAGTACACCCAGTTTTTCTCCCTCTATGAAATGCATTATATCCAACACGGTGAAATAAGCAAAATGCAATTTAAATCTTTATATCATTTCAAAATAAAACATTCACATTCAAATGTCTTTCCGACAATTTATTAGAGAACATTTATATATTTATTTAATGACTGGTCTACAAAAATGATATTTCTGTTTCATTATTTAAACTGCTTTTACACATGTTGTATTAATCTAGAAAGTATTTTAATAAAATATACAGTATATTAAAAATAATTCATGATCTTATTATAATATTTCTACATTTTAAAATGAATTATTGTGAAGCCCAAATGAGATGTGGATGTTCCCCTGCTTTGCTTTAAACATGGTAATGAGTGCTTCATTTACCTAGCCTCTCTACCATTCTCAGGGTTGATCTAAATGTTTTTAATTTCCCCCTGCAGAGTCATGAATAAACAAAACAACAGGATGCACGTTCCTGTTTCAGAGGCCTTTGCAGGATCTGACATGTTGTGTCCTCTCGAGCTTCTTCAGATGACATGAGGCTGCAGTGAAGAGCTCTCTTTATCCCTCGGCTGTTGATCAATCATTTAATCTCCCTAATAGGCCCAAATCAAAACTAATGGTGTATGTAAGAAGTGTTTAACTAAACAGTGTGGACAGTGGGGGACTTAAGTAGTGCCTTAATGATTTTTCTCTTAACTAAGCATGACAGTCCTAATGAATTTAGAGCTCACAAACAAACTTTTGACAACTATGCAACGTTCGCCCCAAACAATGCCTTTTCTCTCTCGGACTGAATATCTGCACATACTATGTTCTTGCCACAAGTGCTGTGTTAAAACATGAATGCCAATATATTAGCATTTCATAAAGTGCAATAAAAGCTAATTCAGTCACCAGGGCTTAGCTTGCCTTGGACTTTCTAAACTAATGTGAGTCATTTGGTGCCATCTTGTGGTGACTGGTGGTTTCAAAGGCACATACTTAAAGGGGACCTATCATGCAAAATGCACTTTTGTACGTCTTTTATACATGAATATGTGTCCCCGGTGTTCCAGGGAACTGACCAAGTGTCAGAAAACACAACCCTCTCTATTTTCCTCCATACCAAATCTCTAAAAAAGGGGCTGCAACGGATCTGATAAAAACTGATCCAGATTTGAACACTGTCCTGACGTCAGGACGGTGGCGCTACGGCTATTGGGCCAACTCTCCACCTATCAGGGGAATGTGGGGTTGGGCCACGGCCGGCCATTGCCGCTTGAAAGCGCTGGAGACGGTGTAGTACATAAGCCAGGCCTGTAAGTGGCGCTGTAGTCTGCCACAAAAGCAGCGAAGAAGACTTCCCGCGCATGGTTGCCATGGTTGCCCTTCTGTTTATTCTCCGCTGTGGCTCTTTTTCTCCCTCCCCGAGGCAATCGTTTGCTCCCGCTGCTGTAATTCAATGCAATCCCTCCCCGTCGAGGCAAGCACTGTAATTCTCTCCGGTTAGTCCACCAGCAGATGACAAACA